ATGTGGCAGGTCCAAGAGGCCCGGAGCGCCGCCCCGGGGGGCCCTTGCTCAGGCAGGTAAAGCAACCTGGCTGGACGCCAAATTCTCCAGGGCCCGGTGGGACTCTTGCACTGTCCCTGGAAGAGCTTCCCACCAGGGAGAGGGAAGCAGGCAGTGATGGGGCAGAGCCAGCCATAAAACTCCTCCAGGCAACACAGCTGGGATTCTTCCACCCAACACGGAGTCCCACGAAGCTGTGGGCATCCACCTCCCCACGGGGGCTGCTGAGTGGGTTTCCAGCCCTGACACATCACTGGCCAGATACCAACAAGGGGTCCCTAGCGATGGCAGCCCCATGATGAACACACACACCTCTCTCCCCAGCACATGGTGAGTTCCCAAGCCCAGACATGCCTGGTCCCCAAGCCAGAGAAAACCCCTCCAGGCACCCATGCAACCCCCCGGAGCGGAGATGGGTGCATGTGCTCAGCGTCCCATCAAACACTGCAGGGAGACATTTTAATGTCACAGCAAGAAGCTTACCAGAGGGTCAGGCTGGTCCCAGAACCTTGCCACCACAGGCCACAGGACTGTGGGGATGGTGCAGCCTTGGGAGAAGCAGGAAAAGCTCCGCGAATGTTGGAGCAAGTCACTTGATCCAAGGCTGGTGGTTTGGGGGTGCAGGAGGAGATACAGCGCCCGGGGGGGCAGGAGCTAAAAAAGCCACAACCCAGACCTGCTTCTCAGCATGCTGGAGAAGGAGGCCTGTTTTTTCCAGGGCTAGGTTTGAGCCCCATTTGTTGGAAATTTAGAAAAATAAAGAGCCTTTCTCCCAAGGGTGGAGGGAGGGATTTGCTCAGGGCGTCACTGAATGCAGCTGCAGAAACCTCCAAAACCAGGCAGAAACCACCTCCAGGACCTGGATGGTGCCTCCAGGCAGCTCTCAGCACCTCCAGGGACTGCCTGGAGGTGAAGGGGAAGGGGGAATGACCTACTATGGGCAGGCACAGAAGCTGACACCAAGCTCGTGCCACCTGGCCATGGCTTCCCATGGGACAGCTATGGGTTGGGGGAGAGCCCAGCAAAGCCTTCCCCCAGATCTTCATCCTCGCCCGGCATCCCCTGCAGCCCATGCCCGCGGGGCTGGTCCGAGCCCCCTGGGGGTGCTGCCTGGCTCTGCCCAGGGGCAGTGGAGGGGGTGGGGGTGCTGTGGGAAGGGGTGCTCCCCCGGGGTCAGCTGGGGGGCCACAGTGGGAAGAGGCACAATGGCAGGAAGCCACATTTCCGCTTCCCAATGGAGAGAACCCTACAGGACCCCTGGGGAGAACAACCGGACACCACTCGTGTGAAAATCAGCGGGGAGCACAAGGAGCGGCCGGAGGCAGCTCCGAGTTGGGAGCGGATCCTCCTTGCATGGAGGAGCCTGGGGCTTGGGGCGCTGGTGGCACAGGCCACCACGTACCAGGACAGCCATGCAGGGAGGGCAGGGGCAATCCCAACCACCCCACAGCACAAGGCACAGTGCTGGCTCCTGCCTGCCCGCAGCCCGGCTCTCCTGCAGGCAGGTAACATTCCTCATTTCCACCCAGCCGGGTGGGAAGAGGGCAGCTCCCTGGTGGGCTGGGGCAGCGCTTAGGTAAGACCCCCCCCCCTGAGGCAGGGCTGGCAGATGTATCTCTTCTGCTTCAGTAGCTTCCCCCAGGTCATGTTGGGGCTTGCTCAAGAGGAATCCCCACCCGTACAGATGATATCTTGGCTGGCCGCACCTTGAGCAGCGGCAACAGCACGTCGGAGGGATGGGCTGAGCCTACGGGACCGTGTCCTCGTTTCCCCCTCACGTCTGCAGCTGAAAGGAGTGGAGGTGAGACCCATAAAGAGGAAGCACATGGCAAGATGGGGCAAGACCAAAACAGCCTGTGGCCAGACAAGTCTGAAGATAAGGACTCCGTGAATGCACGTGAGGAAACCCAGGAGGGCCAGGCTGGGAGAGAGTCCCACGGATGGGGAATGAAAGAGAGGGGCAAGAAGAGTTTCTCCATACCCTGCCGTACCTACCAGCAACATGTGGCTACCCCGAGGTCACCGCTCAAGGAGCAGTACCGGAGGGGCAGAGCAGGACTGCAGGTGGCCCACCAGTGGCCCCCAGGGTGCTGGGATGGAGAGTGGAGAGGAATCCTCCTTCATTGCTTCATGTTTCTGGCCCCAGGACTGAGCTCAGAGCTGGCAGACCTGGGAAGGAGTCAGGCCAAGAACGACACGAGGGAGCTGAGCATGGAGCAACCCGTGGTGAGGGGCTGGGGAGAAGGATGGGGACAGCGTATATTGGAGCCGGCAGGTCCTCAAAACAGCCCTGCAGGGAGGGGCAAGGCACGGGGGACTATTAAATCACTGGAAAGCTCAAAAGCCCATCTGAATCCTTCCCCAAGCAATGTATGGAGCCCCCGCTATGCACGGAGCCCCCGGCGGAGGAGGCTTGGAGGGCTCAGCTCAGCCCCAAACATGCTCCATCACCCCCAGTGCCACTCCACACTTCACGGGGGCTTGCTCCTCTCCCCCAGGAGAGCCCGAGCCTTGGGGTCACCCGCTCGTCCCCAAAACAGGGCTGCTTCTGGAAGGGCAGGAAAAGCTGGCGGTCACGCAGCAGCGAGAGCATCTGCACCCAGCAGCCTCCTGCCACCCGGATGCCTCCCGCACCCTGAGGCACATTCACCTCCCTCCTTCCAGCTCTGTGGCCCCCAGCCCCCCGAGCTCCCCAAACCCCCCAAGCAGGTGGGAGAGCATCCCCGGGGCTGGACGGAGCTCGCCTTGCCCCTGCACCCAAGGGACTCGGCGGAGGGGTTGCCGGGGGCTGGCAGAGGGGCAGAGCACATTCAGCCACCACTCAGCAGCTTTTTGGAGATTGGTACGGGCTGCACAGCTGCTTCCAATTTCGTACGGGGGTGGAGGAGTGAAACCAGAGCCAGAACAACACGATCTTCCTCCCCGGTGTCACCTCCTCCCCAGCTCCCCAAATTTGGAGGGGCGATTCCTCCCCGCTGACCAGCAGCCCCTTGGCAAAAGCTGGGACGGATGCGCGGGGGCCAAACCCTGCCAGGCCTGCGGTGGGTTGAGGTTGGCTCCGTCCTCCGCATGTCGGCTGTCCCGATGGCCGGGCCAGAAATACAAGGGCTATTTTGGGTCCCCGCAGACCAAGCGGCCTTTCCCTTGTAGGCCAGCTCCGGAACAGGGGCCCTGGCTGCCCGCTGCTTTTAGCATGAAACGTACACAGCCCTGCTGGGAAAGGGGAAGGCAAGCAGGCTTTGGCACCCGCCACGGTCCCGCATGGTCCCTCTGCCAGCCACCAGTCCTGCCAAGATCCCACTCGCTGCTCGGCCAGCCGCAGCATCTCACAAACCCTGAACGGGCTTCAGCGGCTAATGCAGCCATTTCACGCTGGCCAGGGGCAGGGCAGCTCTGCTTCAGGAGATGGGACACGTCTGACACCTCCCCACACACCCTTTGTTCCAGCCAAGGGGCACCCCACAATCCCCAGAAACAAAAGGAGGGACAAGGGATGGATGCCCTGGCTGGGTCGGCTCCCCCCCCATGTGGACCCTGCCCAAAGCCAGTCACATCCAAAGTTGCAGCCAGCTCCGAGCAGCAGGGCAAGGCCACCCCCACAGGTCCTAGGAGCTGGGGGAACTCCAGGAGCCACACATGCCTGCACATTTCCCAGCTGATTTTAAATTAGGCTGAGAGGAAGCTGCTGCCTTCCGAGAGCCGGGCTTGCCATGCCCCCGCTCTGCGGCA